GTGTATTTAATTGGGTTCGTTATTTATTTAGCATATTGAAACTATCCATTTAATTTAAAAATTAATCCTTTTGCCCCGTGCTTTGAATAATACGATTAATAATATGTACAGAAAATATTTAAGTATGTTGACTTCTTATCCTATTTAAAATAAGATATTTAAAATTCACTTTTGTCTTCTATTCATGTAATTTTATGCCTTCATGACAAATACTATCATGCTAGATGAGGCTTCATTTCTTCTAATAAAAATTAAGCAATTTCAAAGTTATTAGTATTATTTCTGAAATTCACAGTAACCTTACCAAAAATTTAATTGAGACTCAGAAAGTGGGTTAAGTATCTACTGGGTTCTAAACTCACTGTGTTTAACATATATATTATAGACACATATCATAAATAAATAATCAACCAACCATTCAACTTACATATGTATATCTTATTGGACTGATATTTCAAATTTATATCCTTGTGATACAGTTACAGTTTACATCCTTCCAGTTCCTCAAGGGTTTCAGTGGATATCTTAGAGTTATGGTTTGGGAAATTAGTGCTACAAATCGGCTCTAAATGGATTCCAGCCACTGTGAGTTCCCCTTTCTGCAAAATTGGAATAGCTGCAGAATGATTTCTGCAGATCTTTTCAGCAACCACAAGAGTTTGGTTTCTAAATTTGCAAGTCATTCTTTGGGAAGACCATAAGGAAAAAGAGAACTGGTCCTTGAGAATAGGAAAGAAGCAAAGGGAAAGGTAGAAAGGAGCAGAGTTTTTGCATGAAGACGTGGGAGAAATGAGGAAACTAAGGCACATCTGGGCCAAAAGCTGGAGGTGGGCTGCAGAAGAGGAGATGGCTTTGAATAAGAAGTCCTGTGGGCAGAGCTGTGTTGTAAGAAGGAAGGAGACTGGGGTTAGGAAACACAATTCAGGTTTTTTAAGCCCCACTTTTCTTCATCCCAAATGTAACCTATATGACCTGCATCACAAATTCTAAATGTCATAGGGTCACCAGTCTCCTATGTTACTTAAATATGTCTCCCAAAACCTTGTCAGCAGGAAGTCCCCGCTTCCCCCAGGTTAACCAGCCCCCCAGGTTAACCCAGTCCGAAGGGATGGTGCTGGCCCCGGCCCACCCCACCCCAAGAGTTACGGTGCAGTTTGATTGGCTGCCCGGGCGTGTTTCTCACAGCCATATTCTATCTCTGGGAACCAGCTCCTACACCAGTGGTGCAAGTCCTGTCAGGGAGGGTGCCTGACCCATCACTGTGGCCTCTGTCCCAAGTGGGGCTGCCTGTGCTCCACTGCTCAGCACCAGCCTGACCCACAGGCCCCAGGAGCATGGGATTAGGCTGGAGACAAGCACCCTTGTGGTCCAGGGAAAAAGACACCTTTAGTGATTCCAAGATGATCTCCTCTTCTGAAGGAGACCCTCTAAGTCATTCCAAGGGGCCTAGTCCTAAGCTTGTGGGAGTTGGAGGAGGGAAGTTGCCTTCAGTAATTTCAAGGCTCCTGCATATATGTATATGCGTGTATATACATAGATACATAGGTAGGTAGGTAGATAGATAGATATAAATATGTACATATGTAAAATCTCTGATGACATCCAGCACCACATATAACCAAAGTAGTCTGTGGTACTAACACTACCAGAGAACTTGGAAAGTTGTGTCCAACACTTCTAGGTTATAAAAGCAGAGACACTTTGAACATCTGCTTTGAAGACAGGACATACGAAAAAAATGTTCACAAAAAGAAGACAAATTTACAAGGACCTTTTTGAAATCGTAGTGGAGGTTGAGCCTAAATGTCTTCTAGGAACCCAGGACTGGGTTAGTGCAACAGTCCATGTGATTGCTATTTAGTAAGTGTACAATGACACAGTCTTTGCTTACTGGGTTGTCTTTATTGGTTTGTTCAGTGGACATATGAAGATTCATGAGAGACGAGGCCATTTGTTTTTGCACACCACTATGTCGATCAATAAATACTTGTTGGATAAATGAGTTTACCTAAGACCTTGTAAATTCCCTCTAATTCCCCGTAAGAGCTTGACATTCCCCCCACATGGAGCTGTTGTGAAGAACAAATGAAGCAATATATGTAAAGCACATAGCAGGAGCTAACATTTATGGGAGCTGAAAGTGGGAATCAAATAAAAGAAGAGGCATCCCCCCACCCATAGATCACCCCCTTGTACATACACCCTTGGCTGTGTTCTGTATCATGAGGGGCCTCATGGACACATATGTGGGCATCCCACACAGCAAAGCTCATCCAGCCTCACCCCACAACCAACAGCACGGGCATGCTCAGGAAGGAGGAACTTGGAACAGGTCCACACAAGCCCCAGGTGCAGGTTTGGGGCCATTTGGGCAGGGGATTCTTTCATTCCGGGTACTTGGGACATGGAGGGGGGGTGGGTGCAGACTCTGGGTGGACATGTCCCTGGGCACCAATGAGCATTTCATCCCACGGGGATGCTATGCACATGACCAGGGCAAAAGCTCCCATTACCCAGATCTACGGGCAATGTTGGTGCTTCTAGAACACACCTGGTACATAGTAAATGCTCTATCAGTGGGGAGAAGGAGGGAGAGAGATGGAGAGCAAGAGATTGAGTGAGAGAGAGACAGAGAAAGTCAGAGAGACAGAGGGACTCCTGAGCCAGCAAGACCAGACTTCAATCAGATTGAAGAGACTGACAGATACAAAGTAAAAATATGGGTAATGAGGAGTTTAGTCTGTTATGGTGGAATTAAAAAAGGAGAATCTACAAGACAAATCAGTATAGCCACAGATCACTCAAGCATCAAAGAGGTGGCAAAGGTAAGGAACAAGACACCAGAGGAAGGGGACAACTTGGTAGGGGATAGAGAAAACATCAGAGGTCAATGGGAGCCACTCAGCCCCCTGATATGCTTGGGTCATGGATCTAAGCCCGCTTCCCTTCCCTTGAGGGCACCATTCCCTCCATAAGGTGGCCTCCCCGATTCTTCCAGCTCAACCATTGTGTCTCTTTTCTATGTTTCAATGTATTAACTAAAACGTGGAGTTTTAAGAAAGCAGGCTCCTGGGCTTCCCTGGTGGCGCAGTGGTTAAGAGTCCGCCCGCCGATGCAGGAGACACGGGTTTGTGCCCCGGTCCGGGAAGATCCCACATGCCGCGGAGCGGCTGGGCCCGTGAGCCATGGCCCCTGAGCCTGCGCGTCCGGAGCCTGTGCTCCGCAAAAAAAAAAAAAAGCAAGCTCCTTCACAGACAGTTATTATCTGGTGTGGTTTTGCTCATTCGTTTTTTTCTCTTTCTTTTAATAATATCACATATACTGTGTTGGGTGCCAGGACTACAAAACTGATTAAGGCATAATTCCTTGTCCTTGAGGTGCGAAGAGGCAGATGAGGGAGCTGAATATGTGAGCAAACGGTTATAGTGCATAGAGCTGGATAGAGACAGGAAACAATGCTGTAGAGCACGGGGATGGCTTAGAGCTGAGAGTCCAGTTTAATCAAAATCTAAAAGCAAAAGAGAATATTGCCAGAAAGACAATTTTACTGGTGCATAAATGCAAGAGTTTTTCAAGCAGTCTTTCTAACTCATATAGATCTCCTGCTGGGACTGTTTGGGATGACCCCTCAGAAGACAAAAAAGGAGTAAACAAAAAAGAAGAGAAAGGTATTTTTTAATTTTTTAATACATTTTAAAATTTTTATTGAAATATAGTTGATTAGGGTTTGTTATAACGTGATAGTCTCAGATGTACAGCAAAGTGGTTCAGTCGTACACATGTGTGTAAATATATATTCTTTACACTCTCTTCCATTATAGATTATTACAAGATGCTGAGTATCGTTCCCTGTGCTGTACAGTAAGACCCTTGTTGGTTTTCTATTTTATATATAGTAGTGCGCGTGTATTTTAATCTCAAACTCCTAATTTATCCCTCCCTCCACCTTTCCCCTTTGGTAACCAAAAGTTTGTTTTCTGTCTGTGAGTCTCTTTCTGTTTTGTAAGTAAGTTCATTTGTATCATTTTTTTAGATTCCACATATACGGGATATCATATGATGCTTGTCTTTCTCTGTCTGGCTTGCTTCACTCAGTATGATGCTCTCTAGGTCCGTCCATGTTGCTGCAGTGTATTTTAATTACCAGTCTGAACCTTGCCCTTCATTCTGTGGTCACCTGCCCTAATTGTTAATGGCTTATTCTAAATGTCTTAGAAAACCACCAGAAGCATTGTTCTCTTAACGAATGTTTAGCTCTGAGTCAGAAAGTGCAAGGAGCCCAGAATTCCCCAAACTAAACCTTTCTCTGTTCCCTTTTATGTTCCTATTATGTAATCGTGGATCTTGCTTACTACCTTAATGGCATGACTGGTTAAGAAGCACAGTTGCCTCTTTCGCCTACCCCAATGATCTTTTTGAAATGAAGACGTATTGACATAAGGAAATCTTGCATGAGTAATATGATAGCTATGAGAAAATAATTTCTGAGCATGCCATAAGATTTTACTAATGTATGTTAATTTACTGGGTTGATCTTTTGAAGGATCAATGGCATTTTAAAGGCAAGCACCTTCTACAATTTTATTTGGAAATTTTGACTCTGCTTACAGAAAGAAATGCCGTAACTTAATCACCTTTCACAGGCTGTTCCCTTCATTTTGCAAAATAAGCAATAAACCCTGTGTGTGTGTGTGTGTGTGTGTGTGTGTGTGTGTGTGTGTAGGGGAGGGTGTTGAGTATAAGACACAAAACCCAGCTTTCTCCTTCAGCTTGGTTAAATTACTCAACCTCCTGAACTAAGCTTCCTTTTCATAACTCCTTCTTCTAAACTACTTTTGTGATTTCATTCATAGATTTTTAGTTGGTTCTGACTTTAATCTCTCAGACTAATATAACCAAGGCTGAAGTACAAAGGATTCTAGATGGACAGTCAGGATGTGGGTGAGGTAACCCGCGTATGAAACACATTGCTCATCAGTTACCTTGAACAAATCACTCACCTCCACAGTTTTCTCATTTCCTTACTGTGAAAACTGGGTCACAGATCGAAATGCCTTGAGGTGCCAGGCGGGTAATACAAATGCGTGAATGGGTTCAGGGGTCAGGCAGTGTTGATGGTGGGAAGTGTGGTGGACAGATCAGCTTGCCTTTCCTAAAAGCATTCAAAACCAAAGTTAAAGAAATAAAAACAGTCTGTAGGCCAGATGAAGTTTGGAGTTCTGCTGTTTGCAATCTCTGAGTTAGATAATAATTCTCTCCCTCTCCAGTTTTCCTAGGTCTGTAGTCTTTGTTTCTTTAGCTTGAAGTCAAGATCTCTCAGCATCAGATTCTCCCCAGATTACAAATTGGGCACCTTTGGAAACTTCATTAATTCTTTTCATCACCAGAGAGCCCTTCCATAAATTAACTTATTCGTTGCACTCTTTATGTATTACTCATTGATTGCAGTCTTGAAGCTGCCTGACAGCCTTATTCGTACTTGGAGAATTGAACAGAGTCTATAATATGAATTTTGAAGACATAAGACACTACAAGTGTTAATCAATTGAAGAAAGTAGCACCAAATTTTAAGTAAGTTTATCTGGAGAAAAAGGATGTGTTTTAAGCTAGTTTTAAGCCATCCAAACTTAAAAAGAATCAGTGATTGTGTCCTCCTTTGCCATGATGTATCTTCAAAATGGAGATAAATTCTTAGGGCTTGAAAATCAGTAGCAGTGGGATGAATGAGGAAGGTAGCCATTTCCCTGCTTCAATGAAAACATTTCACATTCGCTACATGTTAAAAGACACCCGGAAACAAACTGTAATGCGCTCACTAATCAGAATTTGGTTAAGATGGAGGAGGAGAAGAAAGCAAGAAGAGAAAAGCTTAAAGGAATTAAGTATGTCCTGGGTGAAGTGATTCACTGGGTAGAGAAATGGCATTATCAATAACTGTCAAGAAGATTTAAACTGAGAGAAATAGAGCCAATTTCAGCTGGAATAAAGGAACACATCAGTAATGTAAGGAAAATAAATTCAAAGAATGCTTAAACTAATCCAAGCAAATGGCAACAAAATAAAAATAGATTCTGTAAAAGAGTGGTGAAAGAAAAGCTCTTATGCCGTTTTTTTAATCACCCATTGGCTGTTAGTGCAACGCCAAGCATGATGAGGGTACTCAACAAATTACCTGATTGCCTGACACGTGAAATGTTTAAAATAAACCGAATGTTGCTTTTAAAAATTTTTATCCGGAATAACTAGCCATTTCTAATTCTTACACGTTCAGAATGACTCTCTTATCACCAGAACAGCTGGTGTCAGCATTTTTTATTGTGCTGAGTAACCACCAGGGCCCATGAATGGCAGAGTCTCTTTCCACGATCAACCCACCAATAAAGAGTTAATTGACGCCCTTTTCCATGCCCAGTCCTGAGATAGATTCCTTAAGATGAGCAGAATTTTCTTAAATAAATTAACTCAAAATGACAATACAGTTATGATAAAATGAAGCATATCTTATGGGTCTTGAAACATAATCATACCAACTTGCAAAGCTCGTTTGTTATGCAGGTAAGAAGGCAATAGACCCAAATTAGCTATGTACCTCAGTCATGATTATCATTTAATATATTTGCAATTAAGCAGGATGCTTAGGTTAGTCACGAGAAGAGGAAAAACTAAACTGGTGTGGAAAGTTTGGTTTTTTTAAATCATAGCTGTTTAAACAGTACATGGAAAATATAGGAGTTGCTCTATCTTTCAAGGCTGAAGATAATTTTTCCCATAAAATTACAGTCAGACTGAGACTAAGCACGGGTCATCTAAAGCAAAGAAAAATGTAAAAATAATGGAAGATTGTGTGTGTGTGTTGGGGTGGCAGTATTTAGGGCTTAGTGAGTATTTTATTTTACTTTGTTTTGTTCCTGTTGGTTTTAATTTTTAAATGTAACCAAGAATACAACACAGATTTGACACAAAATGTATAAGATGCTAAATATCTCCTTGAAAAGTGGGGAATTTTACTTATAATAATAGCCCTGGATTACATGGGTAGTTGGCCTCCTGCAGATACAAAGACACACCCATCTTTATTCAGCATCTTTATTCAGCATCCCAGTCCAGGTGGTACACAGTGATGGCTAGAGTGGAGAATGAGGGAACTAAACTCTTGAGACGACCAGGGCAGGCATTTTTTCTGCAAGTGAATAAGAATGAAAGAAGTGGCTGGGTAAATGGCAATTCCATTTCTACCATCAGCCACCTACTCTTGGCTTGGATGCCTTGTCTGTGTGCTTCATAGCAGTTGGTGGTGGGAGGGGGTATTAAGCAATGAGCATTAGATTTGTTGCAGGAAGGGGGACCCCTTCCAGGGCCCAAGAGTGGGCTCTTGTCTTAACACTCAGAAATGAATTGTCTGAGGAGACACACGTACTGACAAAGCAAAAGACTTTACTAGGAAGGGGCACCTGGGCGGAGATCGTGGGGTAAGGGAACCCAGGAGAACTGCTCTGGCACGTGGCTCACAGTCTCAGGTTTTACGGTAATGGGGTTAGTTTCCGGGTTGTCTCTGGCCAGTCATCTTGCTTGTTGCCCGTATCTGGTCTGACTCAGCATCCTTCCGGGTGGCATGCGCCTCTCTCAGCCAAGATGGATTCCAGCAAGAAGGATTCCGGGAGGTTGGTAGGATATGTTATGGGCTGGCATCTCCTCCCTCCTTTCCGCCCCTCTCGAATTCTCCCGGTTAGTTTTCGGTGGTAGCACCGTGCAAGCACCGTGTTCCTTATCGGGACCTCCTGTTGTGAGACAGCTCAGGCAAGTGGTTACCATCGTGCCTCACCAAGGCGGGCGGTTTTGGTCAGCGGTTCCCTAACAGATCCACCATGCACAGGGCTGCCATACAGAAGCTGCAGTATTTTGACTAGAATCCCAAATGACACTCTATTTTTATTCCATAATAGATATCCATTAAGCACTTACGATGGGCCAGGCGGCTTTTACACACTGGAAACTGTCAAATAAAAAAACAATCCCAGATTTATTTAAGAGAGACTATTCAGAAAGATTATTGCAAGGGAGGAAAAGAATTATTGCAGTAGGAGAAGAGGAATGTTACAATACAAAAAAAGCTGTGGCCATAAGATCTGTGAATACCTCAACAGTTAAACAAGGGTTTTTCTTTTACAGGGAGGAGTGAAAAGGCTAGAAAGAATCTGTGTGGGAGAGTGGGGTGAAGGAGTGGTCTGATCAGACAGTAGATCAGAGGACAGTTTACCCTGCAGCCAACGTATTCTCACCTGCCTGCTGGCTCAGGCTGAGGGTGGGCCACAGTTCAGTGGCCTCAGGGAAGGAGAGAATATTAACCAAAGTTTGGTTAATAAATATTTCGATCCAGTTGCTCAGTAGAGACAAGAAGTTCAGCTAGTCATTTATAAGGCAAAGAATAGAAACTTGGAAGGTCTGTGTCTGACCTTGTTATAGGTAAACAAGGGGCATCCATGAACTTTAAGTCATTTTGGGGAAGGATGGTTCTTTTTTTTTTTAAACATCTTTATTGGAGTATAGTTTCTTTACAATGGTGTGTTAGTTTCTGCTTTATAACAAAGTGAATTAGCTATACGTACACATATATCCCCATATCCCCTCCCTCGTGCGTCTCTCTCCCACTCTCCCTATCCCACCCCTCTAGGTGGTCACAAAGCACCGAGCTGATCTCC